GTCTTCCTCTGCTATTCCAGTAAAGATGGCCAGAATCACATGAATGTTGTCCAGTGTTTTGCCTACTTCCTCCAGGACTTCTGCGGCTGTGAGGTACAGAATTTAAAGTCTCTTACTATGGACAAGACTCAGGATCCCTCATCTCTCCCTGCTGTGTTCTCTCTATCCAGGCCTGCTTCTGCGACACCCATCTTTGATTAGTGCCAGTTTCCAAATAGGGGCGAGTCTTGCTCTCTTCCCTCAGTCTGTCCTATGAATCTCAAGCACTGAGTGTTCTCTAACTTGGTTCTTACCTTGATCCTGCTGAAAAAACCTTGATTGGTACCCACAGGGCAGGAAGTTTCATGACCATTAAAGAAAAGTAGTGGCCTTGGGAACAGATGGCCAGGGTGTTGGTTGGGGGCCACGCTAGGTCTCCTGGTAAGCATGTGCAGGACAGAAGCCTCTGGAGAGGCGGACAGGATGGCAGGAAGGTAATTCTTTGAGGGTTTTGTGGAGAAGGGGAATGGAGGATGGGACTCACCCTAGAAGAACTCTTGGGGACCAGGAGAAAAGTTTAAAAGGTTGGAGTGATGGAAAGGAAGAAAGCAGGGTGGCAGGAGAAGGCAGTAGTGAGAGAGCAGCAGGGGGCAGGAAGCCAGGGCTCCTGCAAACCTTGAATGTGGTTAGCTATTGATTTGTAGCTTTTCTATCCTGTGGTATTGTTAATGATTTGTAGAGTGGTCTTGAAGCTCCTGGAAGGGATACATAGTTTCTTGCAACTGCAACAATTAGACAATAGTTCTGTAGTTGGAAGTTATTTGTACTTTTATCAGCACCTGTTTGCAGTGGGCAGTGTTTACATTCCTTTTGTGGAGTTGGTACATTCACCTAACTCATTTTAATTCCTTTTTTTATCTCCTCCCCACCCCTCAGCCTCTCCACAGGGTGAGACTGCCCTCTGGTGTCAGTAAAAAGTATAAGGGCTCTTCGCGTTATTCTGCTCTCCTGAGCTTGCCGGATCGCCGCCGCCTGCCACACACTCTAGCCAGTGGCAAAGGGCTCCAATCAGATGCCGCAGACATGTTTGGTGTCTTTCTTCCCAGCCTTTTTCTACATAAATTCTACACAAATTTGCACTTTGCACAGACCGAAATGCTTTATTTCTGTCTGTTAAGGATATTCTGTACCGCTAGTGGTTCTGTGCTATGCTGTTTTAAATAGCAACATGATCCATGATATTGTTTTATCATAAGAGAGTTTAGTCAAATTATTAAATTGGGCCTGGGGAGATGGTTCAGTGGAATAAGCGCTTCCCTGGCAAGCGCAAGGCCTGAGTTCAATCCCCTGTTCCGAAAAAAAGAAAGAAAGAAAGAAAGAAAGAAAGAAAGAAAGAAAGAAAGAAAGTCATAAATTATTAAATCATCAGTAATTCAGGGTTGCCCCAGTTCTGAGGACTTCCTATAGATAAATGCCTGGTAATAGAATTGCAAAGTCAAGATAGCAATGCTTTTTAAATTCTTGGTAGATTCTCCCAGTTAGCTTACTCTTGTATAGCATTAGGAAGAATTAAAGAAAATAAGGGCCCGCCAAATAGCTCAGCAGACTAAAGTGCCTGAAGAATTCAAGAAAATGTAAAGCAGTTTTCGAGTTCAGCAAGTGAATGGCTACCAGGATATCCTTCCCTTTGGAAACATGTCAGTGTGAAAAAGGAAACAAGTCATGTCAGGGTCCCCATCCCCTCATAGCTGATGGGGATTCATTCCTGAACTATAGAAGGAACCACTCCAGTAACCAACAACACCTCAGTTGCCAAGAGGTGTTTTCAGCAGAATTAGATGAAAATATTCTGAGATGTAAAAGCCCCCCATGGCCACACATACCTGGATTTCTTTATTAGGATTCCACCAAGAGCAGCTCCATCAGATTCCCCAAACCTCCCTGCGCCAGGCCTTGCTGTTCTTGTCCAAGTGCGGCAGTGCAATAGACCTGCGGCGCTGTGCAGGAGGCGCTGGTCGTTCTGCATTGTTAGGCAGAGTAGCTGCGTGAACAGCTGTGCGGTCCCCCCCCCCCCAGCCCTGCCCAGCTTGTGGCCAACCCCAGGTCTGTGGTGCCCAGAGAGGTCCACTTTGTCAGCCACCCTCTCGGTGTGAGTCCCCTAGCATTGTGGGTGGCTCAGGTGTCTGGACCCAAGCCCCATTTTCGGGTACACTTTGGGGTTTTTCATCTGTGTCCTCTCTGAGTCTGCCAGCCTCCCCCAGAATCTGCTCCTTGCATCTGGCTGTCTTCCTCATAATGTACACCAATCCTAGTTCCGTCTCTTCTTCTGGAGATGGTATTGCTGTGCAACTTGGGCTGGCCTCGGAGCTCACAGTGATCCTGCCTCTGCCTCTCGAGTGCTGGGTTTATAGGCTTCCTATTCTGCGTTCTCCTCTACACTGCAGGTTCCTTCAGGGCTTTCTCTGTGGCGACTTAGACAAGTTGCTAAAAGTTCTGTGCTTCTGTGCTTCTCTCTTGCGGTTCCTAGGGCAGCACTGCAGTGACCCTACACGATGCTAACATGAGTTGCTGCCTTTACGGGGCCAGGTTTCCTCACCGCAGAGACCTAGCAGTTTTCCCACACCAGTGGGTAACACTGGGCCTGCACAGACTGTAAAAGTAATGGTGGAGGGGCAGGTGATGTGAGCGCCTCTAATATGCTCAGTCTTACAACCCCGTTCTTATTCCTGAGTGTTGGTGCGGAGGAATGAGATGTCTTGTTCTCCATCAGGTGGCCCTGGACCTGTGGGAAGACCGCAGTGTCTTCAGAGAAGGGCAGAGAGAATGGGTCATCCAGAAGATCCACGAGTCCCAGTTCATCATT